AAGACCAGGAGTATCCATGTTTCTAAGTGTTTTTTAATGGGAGGTTCTACTGCTAACAGAAGTTGTAGCGTCATTTTAAATATACTTGTTTGTTAGAAGTCCTTTTTAAAAATAAAACATATTTATATAAGAAGAACCTCTCTCAACAATGTATGTTTTTGAATGGAGGATAAAAACGACCACGAGGTAGGCAAGCCTGTAGGTGTCAGTTGCGAGTCCTGGTTCTATCTTCCCTTTCCTAAGTTTACAAATTCCTTTTTTGAAGGGGTTAATTGTAGAAATAATATACTTGCAAAGGTTTTGAAATATTAATTCGGTAGGTTTTATAGAAATAAAAAAAGATTGAAACTATTTAGACAAAAAGTTGCTATTTTTATATAGTTCAAACACCTTTTCCCGTCATTCGTTTTTTTCGCGAACTTGGTTAGTTTCATGCATGCAGCTGCACCACGCTGACGAGAGCCAGCAGCCCGAAACGCGTTCGTGGTTGGCTTTTCTTGATTTGTCAATAAAATGGGTTGGCCAAATATCAGGGAACAGGTTAAATCAACGTTTAGAAAATTCCACGCTCATGTAAACGTGGTCAGGATATATCTTTTTTTATTTTAATAATATATTTATTTTTCTTTTGTCTTCATAGAATGGAATTCCGTAACATTAACCTGTTTATATAAAGCAATAACGTGCCTTCTATATATAGGAAATGAAAGCATTAAAGAGCAAGTAAGTAGTATATATTGGGGTAGGTTACACAATGGCGTTTCAACAACTTCTCAGACAATAACTACTGAAATCCGATCTCTAAGCACTCACTAAACATCAGCTAACACTGCCAAGGCCGCGATAATAATCCCTAGAATTGTATGATTATACTGAGAGACGGCATAAAGAAAACAATGGCACGTTAATCTTATGGACGCAGATGTCCCATAAAAATTGATTCCCGCTCTCTCTAACTTTAAATGAGTCCATTTCTCGAGAAGCCATCGTAGAGTATTTATTGCCTCTTCGATCCACGTCACCCCTGCTGTTTTAACTTCTTCTCTCACTCTTTCGTCGTTTCCCTTTTTACTTTAAACAACAATGAGTTTCTTTGATTCTCTATCTGGTTCGACTGGTTGACAACCATTTCATCAATGATCATTCCTATCTGTCTAATTTTCACTGACAACTCTGTAAATATTGTTTTTATCAGAAATATTATTCTTCGGGGCTTTATCTTAAATAAACGTGTCTCATCTGTTCTTCAAATTACGGATAATAGTAAAAAAAGATTTTTGACAGTGTTGAATGCCACATTTTTATGTACATAATTATTAGAGTAAATTTATTTTGGAAATAGAAAATATTGTAGACTGTGTTTGCATGAAACCGAACCTTCAAACCCTAAACAAAATTAGAACTTGTTTGACTGCTGATTGCTCTCTTTCACTTGATCTTTGGCATTAAGATTTGATGCATGTGAACTCAGAAAGGATTTTAGATATAGCTAAACACCAAAGTATTAGAGAACTTTACTTCTAAACATCTAAACCAAAAGGAAGTGATGAGAATATCTGAGGGAAAACCTGGCATTCTGAAGTTTTGATCGTCAATGAAAGAATATAAGCCTCTTGATTTAAAAATGAGGAAATGGCCAGTCGTTCTTCAACCGCTCGAAAAGGACAACTGCAGGACAATCCACGAACTGAATTATTCTCCAGCTTGACCAGAAGTGCAATTGACCGTAGATTTGGCAATGTAAAGATTGGCATCAAAGTTTGTGTTCAGACTTCTCACCGAGAACCAACGTATTGTCACCTTCAATCCTAATAAATTTTATACAAGAGTTTTATTCGCAAGAAATAGCTCGTGAGGACTTTCACTGCTTCCCTAGGGGCTTTAAAGGAAGACGTTTTTCCCAATACTGGATGTAAAACCGCCAGGTCACGATGGCACTAGCAAGTATCAAAGAAAGGACGAATTTAAAAGTGGATTATAAAGCTGGATTGAACTTTTGGACAAGTGCATTAGTGCTAAGAGATAGGGATTTAAAGAGATTAAATTGTATTTGAAAATATAAAACACAATGTTTTATAAAGAAATTACGGTCATTTTTAGGTCCCCCCTCGTATATCTATATATATATAAATCAATGTTTGTATGTTTGTTTGTTTGTATGTCCGGTATGCAAATTCGCAGTAGTTCACTAATTCAAACCAAAATTTCCATACATAGGTAAAAAATACGAAGAAGACGATAGGCTATTCTAAAAAATATATAAATCAATTATTAAAACTATATATTCAATTTATTCTACTTAGCTCATGAACAGCGCCCTCTATCAAAGATTAGATTAAATTATGCTGATGTAAACAAATAGATAATGCTAATAACAAACAATTATTAAAAAAAATCTTATCTAAATATATATCACTCGGGTAGATATGCACACGGGTCAATCCCGGGGCGAAGCCCGGGTCACCCCTCTAGTATTTATATAATATCGATTTCGAATACACAGCCAAAGACCTTCCATGAGAGTTATTTATGAAAATTCGAAATTATTATAGACGCGTATGATTCTTTTAAAAATTGAACAATTTATACTGCCCTTACTGCAATGGAAAAAAATTAATGGGAGGGCCTGGCTCATCAGTGGTGAACCCTCCCAGCGGTTTCGCCAGTTTAATCCACCATACCGTTGTTATATTGCAGTTTTCGATATTCCTTTTATAGTGATATTGATTCTAGACTCTTGGAATGGGTATTTTAGATGAACTATTTACATAAGCTTTGAGGACAGTAGAATTACGTACAATTATAAATATAGAATTATTTATAATATTCAGATTCAATAACCGTAGAAAAAAGCCTATTATTTGAAAAATCAATAGCATTGAATGCTTTCATTTTCGGAGTTGCTCTACAGAGGGCGCTATATTTATTGTTACTTATGTTGCCCCAACAGACGACTTTTTTATTTGTTGTGTTGGACTTTAAGTGAAAGAGCTATGCCTGAAGCTGAAATATGTGTTACAATTTTCCCTTACAGAATAAGCTTTTTCCCAAAGTTTCAAAAAACCTCATCCCAAAGAGTAAACTTTCAAGTACAGACTACATACACAGAAACAACATACAATAACTACAGCGATCTGGTGAATTAAATAGGAGAAATCGCTGTAAAGTTCACCAAAGATGAGCCAAGCCTTTCCAATTATTTTTCATATTCAGCTACATAATTATAAAAATTCGTCCACATTATTTATTTTTAAAAAGCGTTCAATGTATCCGTCCTCTATACAACAGAGATCGCGCTATGTATAGTGATCAGTTGATGAGAAACTACCTCTCTTTCTGATAGACATACTTAGTAAACTACAAATAGCACGATTTGACCTAGCCTAGCCTCCAACTAGAGGCAACCTACATGACTATTCACACCGGTACGTTTAGCCGGTATCTCATATGATTGGTTTATTGGTTTAAAAATGACACGAACTCAACTAAATCGACCTCCAATGAGAGAATGTCTCTAGAACTAGTATTACCAATACGTTTATCCGGTATATCATGTGATAGGTTTATTGATTTGTAAATGACACGATCTTAACTAAATCAACCTACTCCAATGAGAGAACGCCACCAGAACTAGTAATACCAATACATTTAACCAGCATCTCTGGACAGGTTTTATTAGTTTGTAAATGGCACGAACTCAACTAAATCAACATCCAATGAGAGAACGCCTAAAAGACCAGAAGCATCCGTACGTTTAGCCAGTACCTCATGTGATAATGTAGGATCATTAATCACCACAGACACGGTTAGCAACTAAAGTTGTTTTTATTTAAAAAAAAAGGTCTCTTGACTTATTTAGGCATACAATTTTAGTCAAATGGTATTCTAGAAAAAAAAAGAAATATAACATATTGTTTACAATAAAATATAAAATAATTTAATAGAGAATAATTAAATATTTACATTTACAAATTGTAACTTTTATAACACACAAAGTTTAACACAGCGCCATCTAGGTGTGGCAATTGGAATTATTTAACCTTACAATAATATGTTTTATATTAAAATGACTGTACTCAACTAAATCCAGCATTAAATGAAGGCCACCTCCAGGGATAACCATGTTTTATGGGAGACGCTAGTAAAAAATGAAAAATTAAATTTTTGCTGTGACGTTATCATCGACCACGGTGTAGGGGCTACTTTGCTAATTAATTATTCCCCTAACTATTAATTACCAAGAATAAACTATTAAAACCTGCAGTAGCTCCATCTATCGACCGTTTTTGAAGAAAAATTTAGGTTGAAAAATTCTCGCATTACAAACAAACTGAACGCTATATATATTGGGTTAGGATGCAAGGTATTTCACCTTTTACGTGAATTTCGAATGGATATATCTAACTAAGACATTGCCTTGGGTGGGAATATTCAAAGATTAATTAAATTTACTTATTTTCCTGTATAATAAAATCTCGATAAATTTTCAAACGCCGCTAAAATTTACCTTTACAGAATAAGAGATCAAGCGTCAGATTTTTCTATAAAAGAAAATATTTAAAAGGCTCTTTAGATCAATATTTTTATACTAGACGAATGGCCCGGGCAACGCCCGGGTTTTACCCGAGTGCGTATATATTTTTAAAACGTTTTAATTCAAATACTATTCGTTACAATTATGAATTGGCGCCATGGATGTCACTCTTGTGAAACGTCCCGTTCCAAACTATGTGTTTTTAAAATGTTTTAATTAAAATAATATTCATATATTAACTTTATGAACGGAAAAATATGTCCAGGGTAGCCTAGTGGTCATGGCATCTGCCCGGTAAGCGGAAGGTCGTGGGTTCGATTCCCATCCCTTGACACTTTTTTTATTTCATCCATTCTGACCAAAATCTATCCGTGAACTTCACACAGTGAACTTCACACAGACAGAATAAGGCAATTATATAAGTAGATTATAAAGATAGAAGCTTCTATAGAAATAACTAAAATAAGCCGAAATAGCTCAGTTGGGAGAGCGTTAGACTGAAGGTCCCTGGTTCGATCCCGGGTTTCGGCATCTTTTTTAAATTTTTACTTACCATAACTTGACACGTGACCAAAATCTATCCGTGAACTTCACACAGACAGAATAAGGCAATTATATAAGTAGATAATAAATAAATAATTATCATTAGATAATGATAATGATCATAATGATGATGCGCGCGTTGATGACCAAAATCTATCCGTGAACTTCAGACAGTGAACTTCACACAGACAGAATAAGGCAATTATATAAGTAGATAATAATAATTATTATTATTATCATTAGATAATGATAATGATCATAATGATGATGCGGGCGTTGATGACCAAAATCTATCCGTGAACTTCAGACAGTGAACTTCACACAGACAGAATAAGGCAATTATTATTTTTATATTTTCAAATTATGCTATAAAAGATACAAATAAAAAAATAGGAATTTACTATATTGATCAAAGATAAAAGGAATTTTACGCAGATTGAACACCTGATATTATATTTTAATTATATTTTCAATTAAGCAAAACCTGCTCCATCTCGTTTTACATAAATGTTGAAAATTTGGTTGAAATTGATGCATTGTAACGAAAGTTTTTAGTGATGTCCACTTATGAAATTTCCATTTTATTAATATAGATCACTGAGAACTAAAAACATTCATATTTAATTGTCTAATTAACTCGACGCTGATTGGCAGATTAAGGTCACATTTGATAGTAGATAACCAATCAGCAAAAGAATAATTCGAACACCGTCAATAAAGAGACATTAAGGAGTATATGATAATTTTCCCAAATCTCTTATATAAAAGATGCATTTAAAGTTCCAGAAATGTCTAACAATAGAGAATCCCATAATATCTTTCAAAATATTCACCATTCGAAGATATACACATTTGCGATCGTTTTTGACCTAGACAAAACTGTAATACTTTCTGACTTCAGATTTCCTAAAATTCTCCTCGATTCCTCTTTTATAGAGTTTAGCGCCTCGACTCTTATAAAGTATTTGTTATAAAATAAATAAAACTTCCAGGGTTAAGTTTCTTGTTTAAATTTTATTTTCAAGCTTTTGGACTTGTCAGTCCTTCAATAGGAATATCACGATAATAAATTTATGATATATGCTTTTTTATATACAAATTATTATTTACATATTTTAAATATTAATGATATTGAAAGGGGGAGAAAATATATTACATCCTTTGTGTGTTATAAACAGATTTTGAAAATATACGTGCATGGTGGAGATACGTGCTGGTTGAATGATATATCGAGATTTCAAATGAAATTTAATAAATTCGTGAACTATTGTGGTATATATAAAACACTGTCTACATCTATGGGGTAGTATTTGTATATTAGTAGTTTATTAGTATATTGTCTCGTATGTTTCTTATATTTCAATGCACATCTTTTTATGCTTTTTAGCCGTTTTTTTTTTATAATAGATTCTATTAAAAGTCTTTGGTATTTACTATGGATATTGTCATAATACACTTTGGGTTGAGATAAATTAAGTGTATGGCCTGTTTATTTTATGTGTTCAACTATTAAAGATCTTGGGTCACTATTGTTAATATTCCTATTATTTTCAGCTATTCTATTATGGAATTTTCTCCCAGTCTCCCCTACATATTTATAACTACAGTTATCACATGATATGGAGTATATGGCTTCTTTTCTATTGAATGGAATATTAGATTGATTCTTTCTTAATGGGTTTCTAATCACATTGCCTAAATTTGAGAATTATTGTACATAGTTTTGATACCATATTTTCCAAGTGTTCTAGCTATGGATACTGATTGGAGGGAATATGGGATGATGCATAATGTTCTATAAAGTTATGATTTTTGAGTTATTGATTTGGTAATTTCTGCAGTCTGATGAAAATGTCGTAGAAAGAAGGATTTTGGGTATATTTTCAAAAATTGTTTATAACACACAAAGGATGTAATATATTTTCTCCCCCTTTCAATGTCATTAATATTTAAAATATGTAAATAATAATATGTATATAAAAAAGTATATATCATCAATTTATTATCGTGATACTCCTGTTGAAGGACTGACAAGTCCGAGAGCTTGAAAATAAATATTTGAACAAGAAACTTAACCCTAGAAGCTTTATTTATTTTATAAAATTATAAAAAATGAAAGCATTTTCTGCATATAGTGTTACCGCCTCATTAAGTGACACAATGCTATGTTCCAACCATTAATTTTGTGAATATATATCACACGAACACATAGATTTATTAAGATCACCGGTCTTATACAGATTCACCACAAGAAGAAAGGAAGCATAGATAGAGCTTCTGTACTCCAGGCAGCACAGAACCCAACAACAGCCTCCAGGTCCGACGTATGACCAGAGGCCACACGTTCCTTCGTGCATACGTCAAGGTTAGCGTATCACCGAAATGACGAGTGTGGAATCAGCCGCGTTCTTGTCTTCGCTTCCTCATCCAAATAAACCACGACATTTGGCGATTCTATTAATCTCCTCCAAACGGTAATATCATATATATCATAAAACTCCTTGTTTGCCTTGGTTATTCTTTGTGAAAATAAAATATCACGATTGTTAGGATTTTTATAAGTTGTTTTTTTCTTAGATTAATTTATTTATAATTTGACCAGATGACCGGACGATTTTACATGTATATAATTGGTTTTAAATGATGTAAATTAGTTAGTCATGAAAGGAAATTAAAAGTGTTGATTTTCTTAGAGGTGTTAGTGTTTACTCTGCTCGATTGGTAGACCAGGAAAGAATTGGTTCCTAACAGGTTATGGGCCCAGCACGCTTCCACTGCGCCGTAGAAAGTAACTAAAAGTTAAAACCAAAGAAGGTAAAGAAGAAAAAATCTGAAGTTTAAGCTAAAGAAGATAAAGCTGAAGAAAGTAAAGAAGAAAAAGCTAAAAGTTAAAGCCAAAGAAGTTAAAGAAGAAAACTTGAAGATAAAGCTAAAGAAAAAAAGGCTGAAGGCTAAAGAAGATAAGGCCAGGGAATACAGGGCTAAAGAAGACAATTTTAAGTTGGGCTAAAGAAGATAAAGCAACGAAGAAGAAGAAAAGATTTGAGTTATAATTTTTTGTGAAGTTTGCATAGCTAAAAAAATCAATGGCTGACGAGTTGAGAATACCTAAACTAGATGGTAATAATTATTATTCCTGGGCTATAAGAACTAAATCTATTTTGATCCAGAAGGATATATGGGATGCGATTTGGCCTGGCTTTCCTAGTGAAACTTCAGAAAAACAGAAGCGGAAAGATTACTTGGCATTATCTATCATATTATTAGCAGTTGAGGATTCATTCCTGGATGATATCAGTGATTGTATGCGAGCGATCGATGCATGGCAGATACTGGAGGACATCCACACAAAGTATGGCTTACTGCATATATTACAGCTACTAAGAGAGTTTTTCAACATTGTCAAAAGAAATGACGAAGATATGAAAGAATATTTCGCGAGGATAATGGAATGCCATAGAAAATTAGCAAAGTGCCACCATGGATTTGGGGATGGCGAATTGGCGTTGATTATGCTATTGGGATTGCCAAAGAGTTACGAACCACTAATTCTCAGTTTAGAACAGCAAGAAGAGAAGCTATCTACTAGTGTGGTTAAATCCAAATTACTTTTAGAAGAAAAACGACAGAAACAGCGTCAAATTCCTCAAGAAGATCCTAATTGCGCTTTTGCGGTAAGAAGAAAAGAGGATACATGCAAATCATCATGTCAAGAGCAAAATAAATTTGAATATTATCAACCAAGGAATTATCATAATACGTGGACGGAAGGGAAAAGGGAAAACTATAATTATTTCAGGCGGATAAGATGTTTCAGTTGTGGCAAATTAGGACACATGGCTAGGAATTGCAGATTTGACAACTCATCAAGGAGAATTAGCGAAGGTATGCTGAAACAAAGTACGTTAGACCTTACTCATAAAGTCCTATTTGCAAATAACTTGAAAAACAACTCGCAGAATATCTGGTTTCTGGACAGTGGAGCTACTGAACATATGACGTCGAACAGACTGAAAATGACGAATACAAAAAGTATTTCAACTTCAGTTGAAATGGCAAACAATGAGAAAATAAAGGTATCAGAGATGGGTGATGTAACCATCAAACTCGGTCACGAATATGGAGGTGAAACCTTGTTCTTGGAAAACGTATTATACGTTCCTGAGTTAGACGGAAATATTTTGTCTGTTGGAAGGATTGAGGAAAGAAGAAACAAAGTTTTATTCCAGAATGGCAAGGCCTCTGTTTTTGGAAGTGATGGTGAGTTAATTTTGAAATCTAATAGAAGAGGAAGAATCTATACAGTGGAAGAACTAAAGATGGCTAAAGTGAAGTCACCTAGTGCAGATATCTGGCACAGAAGGCTAGAACACATTTACAAAAGGGATCTCCAAAATGTGAGTGACACAGCAGAGTGTGAGGTGTGCCTTGAAGGTAAAATGAGAAGACTCCCATTTCCTTCCAAACCTGTCGAAAGTAAAAAGACTTCATCACCCTTGGAGCTCATCCATTCGGATGTAGTAGGTCCCATTAGCCCAATGTCGAAGGGAGGGAACAATTATTTCGTGACATTCATAGACGACTTAACTCATTACACTACAGTATATTTCATGAGGTCAAAATCGGAGGTACTTGACAAATTTAAGGAATATAAGAACAGTGTTGAGAATTACCACAGCAGAAAAATCAAAGTCTTAAGAAGTGATAATGGGACGGAATATGTTAATGGCGAATTTAATAAATTTCTCAATGAAAATGGCATCAAGCGACAACTTACAGTTCCAAGAACACCTCAGCAAAATGGAACTGCAGAAAGAATGACTCAGACATTGCTAAACACAGCAAGGTGCATTTTACTTGAATCAGGGATTCCCAAATCGTTCTGGGCAGATGCCGTAAATACAGCATGTTACTTGAGAAACAAATGTTCTAGCAAGGCAATAGGTAACAAAATACCAGAAGAAATGTGGACCGAACGGCCAGTGAAG